CTTTTCACACTTCACCAAGTGTCGGCAGAGAACTGGATCTCCATGAAAGATCTTCTCAAAAGAAATCTAGAAGGACAAGAGAAAAGAATGAAGTAATCATAATTCACAAAGTTGAGATCCTTACCTTTGAGTACCAAGTGAATCCTTCACGCTCCAATGGTAAGAACTCTTCTTCAAACTCTCTCTCACTCTCTCCTTCACACTTATTTCAGTAAGCACGAAGACCAAAGACCAAAAATATTATAAGACAGTTTTAAGTGGACCTTATATAGGAAAGACACGAAAAACCGTAAAAAAACTGCTAATTTTTAATTATGTACGCACTCGATCATCCCGTACGATCGTGATTTCGTCTAGTACGAATAGTGTAAAAACTATTTCGTATGAACCCAATGTATATTGGTATGAATAACTTCATACCCGATCATCATCTTGTACAAACTAAGTTCGTCTGGTATGAACAATTATATAAAGGGTTTGTTTGGATGAAACTGCAAAACGATCCAAATTTTCAAGGAACAGAGAACTTCATCATGGGACGAATATAAGAATTTGTCTGGACGATTAGTTCAAATCATCTGTCTAGAGGACATCATCCTGGGACGCATAGGGTGAATCGTCTGGATGATATGTTCAATTTAACGATCCAGAGGATATCGTCTTGGGCTGAATGGGGTGAATCGTCTGGACGATCTATTCAATTCAAGGATCCAGAGGACATCATCCTGGGACGAATGGTATATTTCTTCTGTACGATCATTACAAAGTGAGAATCTAGAGGACATCGTCCAGGGATGAATGATATACTTTGTTTGGATGAATAGTTCAAAGTGAGAATCAAGAGGACATCGTCCAGGGATGAATGTTATACTTCGTTTGGACGAACAGTTCAAAGTGAGAATTTAGAGGACACCGTCCATGGACGAATAGGAAAGTTCTTCTGGACGATCTGGACTTAAAAATTTTTCTCATTTCCTATTCGTTCCATTGCTCTCCAAAGGTTATAACTGACCTGATCATCTCGTACGAACATGGTTCGTCCCGTACGATCATTATAAGAAAATTTTTGTTTTTTAAATATCTCTCCAAGTGTGTGTGTGTGCTAAGTTACTCAATTACAATTATACTCTCTCAAACTCAATAAATTAAAAAATATAGACTTCAATTTACAAACTATATTATGCTGAATTTGATTTGAAGTCTTCATTAGTCTGGAGTTCGATTATCCTAAAATGTTAGTGCACACAAGAGCAAAAATAATTCTTCTAAAAAGTGTTAGGAGAAAATAACAATAATATTTGGAATCATCAAAACTATACAAGTTGCAAGAAATGTAAAATATGTAAAAGCTAAGTAGCAACTCTCTTAACAATGTTAAGCCACGTTACTATACATGACCTACTACATCATCTATAGAGGAGGAGGTGTAGAAATCACTCGGGGTGCTACTCTTCTAACTATTAGACCACTAATAATAAGAGGGGAAAATTAATCTAAGATTATACCATATATTGATATTATTATTTAACTTTTGAAAGGGTCCTATCGTGATAAATCTTTTGATTAAAATGATGTAGCATCATATATAGATAGTGCATACCCCAAGGTAGTTTCTCCCTTATAAGATATTGAAGGAATATAATTCTATACTTCTAGGGTCTTTCCACCTAGATTTATAATTTTTAAGGAAAACATATCTTTTTCTCAAGTGTACTAGTCCGATTTTTCAAGATTGTTGATTCATCTTTTTAATATAAGTTGACCTCTACTTTAAATCTTAAGCAGGAGAGAGTTGTGGTTGACTCCACCAGGTACTTAAAGGCCCCTCCTTTCCATGGCTTGTGCAGGTTAGTTCACTTTTGAATTAAGATCTAAATAACACTTAAGTTGACTTCAAAAATGAAAATCTTATCAATCTTCTAGAAATTTTCTATCTTAATTGGCGTTTCTTGCATATCTAAAATTTGTTCAATGATTTTCCTAGTTAAGTTAATATTTCTATCAATAGATTGGGTTTGCCTTAAAGATTATACTTCCTAGTATAAAAGAAGGGCCTCTCTTTCATTGCACTTGCGAGATAATCTTGGCTTTTAAAAGAGTAATCATTTTAAGGTTTTAAAGAAAATGAAGCCTCTTATCAAGATGAAAAATAAATCAAAAAATGCATAAAGTGCACCAAAAAAAATTTGTGCAATGAGCACCAGTAGGAGTAAGAAAGAAGGTTCTTTCTCCTTAAATCCCTAAATCTCAAAAGAAAACTCAATCACCTTTAATTACTTGACTTTAAAAAAACTTGAATCCAAATTCTTCATCATGCTTAAAATCGTCTATAAGATAGAAAATTTTCATGCAAGAGAATTGAAAAGATCAACTTTCTCTATTTAACTAATTTTTTTTTTGAAATTAATTTTAATCCAAAATTTATACAAGAGAGAATCCCAGTTCAGTTTCTGTAAAATTTGGTCTGGGTCAACAAAACCTAAATTCTTAAACTTTTTCAAGTTAGTTGGAGTCACTCTACATCTCACTATACTTACAAATTTATTCATATTTGTCATTCTAACAGGGTCCAAATGGTTAAGAGGAAATTTTCAAATAAAATGAACGAATCTTCTACTCCTGATAAAAATTCAAATTTCATCATTGAGGAATGTTTGTAAGTCCTTATATATAAGCATATTTTCAATCAAGGCCTTCTACAAAATCACACTCTATGCTTGGTCCAAGGTCAATCCCACTAGAGGAGTGGTTTACTTTGCTAGAAAATGTCATTCAAAATTAAATCACAGTTGAGCAGAGTGACCAATTCGAATTGGTGGAGCTTGAGGCCTTGTAGAGCATCATCTTTAAGACTCAATACAACTCAGAGTCATACAAAGCTTGAATGGTTTAAACTCATGATAAGAGAGTTCGACATATAACCTTCAAAGTAGGAGACTTAGTCCTGGTTCTTTGGATGCCTATCTTAGCCTATTGAGAGATCAGTGGGGGAGTTTAAACCAACATAAGAACTACCTTTTATCATAGAGACGATCTTTGAGGGAATTTCAAGCATAAATTGATCAATCATAAAGGATGCCACACAATATTTTCAAACTTTGGGATAGTTCTTTAGGAAGTACCATGCCATATGAGTATTAAATTTAACATCAACAAAAACTCTTCAAATTAAAAAAAAAAAATTCTTGAATTAAAAAACTCTCCAAATTTAAAATAAAATCAAATCGGATTCAAAACCCTTCAAATTCAAATAAATCAAAAGTCAAAATCAAATTCAAAAAATTCATAAAATTCAAAATCAAATCAAAATAAAAAAAATTTGAAATTCAAAATCTAAATTCAAAAAATAATCAAATTCTTGATTTAAAAAACTTTTCAAATTCAAAATCAAATTAAATTAAAAAATCCTCCAAATCCAAGTCTTAAATCTTAAGAATTACTCTAGCCTTCTTTTCCTTAAGGTTAGGTGCTTCTTATCCTTAGGATTAAACCCACAAGTGATGGAGCACACCCATTGTGGCACCATCCTTATTTCAAAATTCAGTTTTGATCTTCTATGTGGTGCAAGCTTCCTCCCCACATGATCATCCACTAGTGATGGAGTAAGCCCTATGTAGCATAATCATAGTTTCAAAATTCAATTTTGATCTTCTATGTGGAGCAAGCTTCCTCCCCACATAATCATCCACTAGTAATGGAGTACACCCATTGTAGTGCCATCCTAATTTCAAAATCCATATTTGATCTTTTATGTAGAGTAAGTTTTCTCTCTCACAAGTGATAGAGAATGCCCTTCGTGGCACCATCCTAGTTTTCTTATCTAAAAATAAATTCCCCATTTTAGTTTACCTTTATTAATGGTGGAGTACACCCTCTATGACACCATCCAAATTTTAAACTTCAAACTCGATCCTTTATGTGAAGCAATGCTTCCTTCTCACACGATCATCTAATATTCTCTTCCTTAAGGTTATATACTTTCGTTCCTTAGGATTAGACATTTTAGTGATGGAGCACACCCCCTGTGGCACCATCCAAAATTTTAAATTCCAGTCTTGATCTTTGTGGATCAAGCTTCCTCCCCATTTGATCATTCACTAGTGGTGGAACACACCCTTCATGGCTCCATCCTAGTTTTTAAATTCCAGATCTGATATTCTATGGGAAGTAATACTTTCTTCCCGCAAGATCTTCTAGTTTTCTTTTCCTTAAGGTTAGATGTGAGTCATCGTGCTTTTTTTCCTTAGGATTATAACTACTAGTAATAGAGTACGCCCCCTATAGTAGCACCTTAGTTTCAAAATCTAGATTTGATTTTTGGTATATAGTAAGTTTCCTCTCCACAAGATTATTTATTAGCGACGGAGCACACCCTCTATAGCACCATCATAATTTCAAAATTAAACTCCAATCCTCTGTGGGAAGCAATGCCCCCTTCCCACATGATATTTCATTTTTTTTCCTTAAGGTTAAATGTGAGTCATCGAGCTTTCTTGCCTTAGGATTAAATAATCTTATGATGGAGCACACCCTTTTGTAGAATCATCCTAATTTAAAACTCAAATTCAATCCTCTAAAGTTAGGAGTTATTCCTTCCTATACATTCACTCAATCTCCTTATCTTTAAGGTTAGTCCTTTTCCTTCCCCAGGATTAGATCAAATAGTGGTGGAGAATGCCCTTAGTGGCACCATCCTAATTTCAATTTCAATTTCAAATCCTAAAATCAAGTTCTCTTTTCCTTAATTCCTTCTTTTAAATTAAAATGATTGCAAAATAATTTTTTTTAAAAAAATCAAATTTATTCTAAATTAACCTTTAAAAATTCTTAAAATTTAAATTAAGACCAAATTCAATCTTAGCCATTGAATCCCTTTCAAAATCATCCTTTAATCAAAGCATTTAATTTTAAATAAAGAGAGGCATAAAATTGTAATTTAGCATATATTGAAAGCATTACTGCATTAGAGCTTAGGAGGCTGTTAGACCGGTTGAACCGAACCGCACGCCCCCTTTTCTCCTTGGATTCGCAAAAACCAAGTCCACGTCTCCCTCCCTATTTGCGAAACCGTCCGCCTGCTCTCTGGGCAATTCGCGAAATCCCCTACAAGTTCGCAAGAGGGACGCACACCTCCTCTCAGCCATTCGCGAGCCCTAGGTCCGACCCTCTCTGCCGTTAGCAAGCCCAAGCCAAAGACCACCATCTGACCGGTCCTTGCCTTAGCCACCGCCGGCCCTAGCCTCATCTGTGCCTCCTTCTTGCTGCGATTTGCTTGGCCAAGAACAATAGAAAGTGGTTGCAAGTGTTGTTGTACATGGATCTTGATAATATCGGCAAGTTATCCTTTCTCTTCTTGAAGCATGGAACTTCAAGTATTTCTTTCTTATTTTAGATTTGGAAATGTGGTTGATGCCTCTTTCTATGATTTTAAAATTCGGAAATATTATATGAAAGATTTTTTTCTTAAGCTTTTCTTGGCATCAAGATGAGTTCTGTGTAGGACGAAAATGCTGAGATTATCTTTCCAAATTTTGTTTTAAGTTCTAAATGGCAGTAGAAAGTTCCTGTTGAAACTATATTTCTACCTAAAGGCTTTGGGAGTTTAAAATGCATGTATTCCTTAAAAGAAATAAAATGGTTCTTCGCCTCTTATGCTATGTTTTGGTACAGGAAGCAAGAGATATAATCATTAGAAATTTTCCCAAATTTGATGATTGTTTCACATTCAGATATTACCGAATATATATATATATATATATATATATATATATACTTTATCTTACAATATTTTGTGTCAAGAAGAGATTGATTGCCATTTCATTCCTAAAGCCAAGTCAGAAACCATTATAGTTTCTTTTTTCTCTCTGAATTGGAATGCGTAATGGGCCTTTTTAGGTTATCTTTGGAGGAAAAGAACATGATTATCCTTTTCTAAATTTTGAAAGAACGTATACTTTGTTGATTATTCTCTTCTGAAGTAATGAAGAGGTATTAGATGGTTGCAAGATTTGCTTCTTGTATTTTACTTTTTTTTTTTAATATTTAGATATACACATGTCTGACCGCTTACAAGTAACAGTTTCATGTTTTGTGACGTTGATTCCATACTTTCATAGAAAATACATTCGCATTATTTGCAATGGTGGATTCAGTCAAAGCTTCTCATGATAGATTTTATCTATTTATGTTTAAGTATTGACTTGTTTCTTGTGATATATTTTCTTGAGGCAAATTGGGGAGCATATCTATGAACTTATTTTGTTCCTCCAAAATTTGATTGTGGTTGCATTTTGCTTTATTAGACGGCTGCACTTCTTTATTTCTTTTCTTTGAATGATTGCATTAATTCTTTTTTGTTTTTGAGCAAAATAGGCATGCAAGAAGAGAATGGAAGTTTTCTTCTTATTATCTTCATAAGTAATTGCTCGCATGATTTTTAACTTGTTTGACATATTATTCATTCAATAAAATTAGCGAAGCGCCATTGTGTTTTTACTTGCTCTCACTAGTGATATGACAAATGATATGATGAATTGTATTCATGAATAAAGTTATGGTTTACTGAGATCTTTGGAAAGAATGAATTTGCAGCAAGTCATCTTTCTTTTCCTAATTTCATTTAGCTATGACTGTTGAGATAGAAAGTGCAAGATGCATGTGTATATTTGGTGGATCATGATTGGTGGAAATTGATATACATAGTCATGCTTCATCTTTTACATGGATGTTTTCTTCCTATGGTTTGGGAAAGAAAAAGTGGTTTTGGTAAAGAGTGAATTTTGAAAAGTGAAAGTAAAGCGTATGTGAGAGATTTTGAAAAATAAAATGTGTTATCTTAAAAGGTAAAGAATGATTTTGCGATGAGGTGGAAAATTTTGGGAAAATGAAATGTGTCTGTGAAAGTAGAAATGCATGATTTTGTGGGAAGTGTGTGTGTTGAAAGGTATTGCTTGAGAAAGATGAAATGTGAGATGTAGGGTTTTGGAAGTTAAGGTGTTTGATAAGTTTCTTTGAAACTTTGAAAAGTGGAGTGTGTGGATGTTGGATAGAGAATGGTTTGGGTGATCTTTGGAAATTAAAATTTAAAGAAAAGAAAAAGCTCTCTTTCTCTCTATCTCTCTCTCTCCTTTTCTTCCTCTTTCTTATGCCTCAAGGTGAATGTTGGAAAATTACGAAGTATGCTTTCATAAGTAAAAAAGCTCAAAAGGCAATCAACCACACCGGTGCATGACCAACCCAAAAAAAAAGATACGTTTTAATTTAAATAGTATTTTTTAAATTATTTTCTTTTTTGATTATTAAACATGCTTCTAATCCCTGCTTTATTGTCTTTATTTTTATGAACTGCAAGGAATGTACCGATCAAGTGAACTAAAGGGAAATGGGACAGAGGCGTCAATCGCCTCCATCCAACCGGTTGGAGGTGCTACGGGCTGAAATACTAGATGTTAGCTTCTGTACGCTGTAAGTATTCTAGAACTTAGATAAACCTTAAGACCCAAAACCCTTGATGTGGTTTTACGAATTCCCAAACTTAGGGCCTTGTAGAAATCCTAATTTTGTTTATTATGTATTTTAGATTCAAAACTACTTGCAAATTAGTTTTATTATGTTATTTAGATTTTCCTATGTTATTAAAATTTTCTTTGATTATTTAGAACCCAAAATCCATTTACATGTGTGCGTATGTTCAAAGGGTTAGTGACAATATATTTCATTCCATATAACATTAGTAATACTTAAGGACATAAATTAATGATGGGTATTAGAGGACTTAGATTTCAGGATGCATGCATCTTTTGGGAAAGAAAATAATAAACATAAAAAACTTAGTGACACATCACTTTAGGATTAGTGAATATATTTAACCTAATGTAATTAATCCTAAATAATAATCAAACAATTATTAAATTCACTTTAAAAATTAGAAATTACGATCATAAATAATAATTCAAACCAACTATAAGATAAATATTTGAATTAAAGTTATTAAAATAATACTGGTAAATTAATTATTAAATTAAAATAAAAAACACTAGAATAAATAATAATAATAATAATAAACTTATAATTAAAACAATCCTAAATAACAATAACATAAAAAAATTTTAAATAAAAAGCTAAACAGAAATATCAAAATAAAAATATATAAAAATCATAAATGATAAAAAATAAAATAAAATAAAATAAAATACAAGACTAATAAAAAAGTGTACAACAAATTAAACAGATAAACCATAAAAAAATAGTTTAAATAATAAATTGCAATTAATTAAATAATATGAATGATAAAAATAAATTTAATAAATCATTAAAAATTAAATAAAATCTTTAGAAATTTAATAAAATCTTAAGGCTTTAATAAGTTATTAAAAAATTCAATAAGTCATTTAAAATCAACAAATCATTAGAAATTTAATAAATCATTGAAAACTTGAATAAATTAATTAAAACTTCAATAAAACATTAAATTAAATTTTTTAAAGACTTAAAATAGTTAACTAAGACACCCTAAATAACCAATTTTATTAATCAAACTTAACAGTTAAAATTAAACATAAAAAAAATTTTCAATTTGCTGAAGACTCTAAGATTTAAACTTAAACATACAATTACCTTGGCCTTTCAACAAACTAAATTCTATTAATTTGAAAATTTCAACTAATAATTGATCTAGGATTTATCCAAACTATACAGCCTATTGCACACACTTAGATTTATTTGCTAGGACAACTGACTCTAGCTTTAAGTTAGGCCGATATTTACTTTCTTTTTGTTGTGTAACGGCTTTCTCGTGATTTTTACTGTATGCTGGTTGTAATGATTGATGTATTTGCTTATTTTTTTTATTTATATAATTTGATAATTGATGTGATGAACGATAGATTACCCCTAGGTTAGGGACGATTTGGATGCTCACAGAATTTTATGCAGGTGGCTATGCTCATACAAAGTTAAATCAAAGAGGGTAAATTAAAGATTTAAATTGATGAAATTTTCTGCAGGTGCAAAATGCTAAGCCCCTTTAAAACTAAAAAAATATTACCAAATGTGACTGGTGAAATTTAATTTAAATGCAAATATATAACTATTTGTGATGATTTTATTATAAGCTGTTTAGGATAACCCTGCAGATTTTTTTTTTTTAAATATGTGTAATATAATATAAATGTGTTTGAAAAGAGTTGTAATGTGAAAATGACTTGAAAGTGGGATATTACATCAAACTTGTAATCTAAAGAGAAGAGAATATCACCTGGAGGAATGTTCTCTTTTATTTGGAAAGTTAAGTTAGGATGATTTTAATATCCCAAAAGAAAAGAAAATACTCTTTCGGGGATGAGTTTCTTTTCATTTGTATATTCAGATTCGATGAATTCAAGGAGCTCACAAAAGAAAAGAAGGCTAAGGAGAGAAGACGAAGAAGTGAAGAAAAGAAAATATATCTCATTTTAAAATCACTTGAACTAGTCTTAGGATTATAATTCGGGTTTGTTGTCAGTAATATTCGACCACTTTATTTTTCAACATAGTCTGAGTTGTAAATAAAATGACACTTGCCATATGAAATTTGAATATTATATATTGGATAATTTAATTTGATTGTTTTCATTGTTTGTATGGTATAATTGAATATTTGTTTAGGTTATCTTGCATGATGTGTTTTGTTTTATCTTGGATACGATCAGAGTTTTTGTGATGGTATGAATAAAATTTTTATACTTGAAACTCTAATAAAATTTTTAGGCTCACATAAAAATTCTAACGATTTAATAAGTAAGCTCGGGACCGCCGAGAGTCAGCATATATGCATATTATTACTTTATCTTTCTTTTTAGGCACCTCTCTATCTGCGGGTTCTAACAGACCACTTGGCCTATTAGGGTACAGTTCTGTTAAGAGGATGTTGTGCAATCTCTAAAAAAATATATATTTTCCAAGCTTGATTTTAAAATTGTTTCATAATCATTTTATACATTCGAGTTAATTAACATGCATTGCATTGGATACAAATTAAAAGAGTATAAAATTCTAATTACATTTTACTCTCAAGCATCATTTACCCTACATAAGTTAAGGGACCAATTATGATATGTCTTAGATGTCAGACCCCAATTCTTTAAAACTTAAACAACGTCCCTACCCATTTTTCATAAAGAAATTAGACATATGATTTTAAAGCGACAAGGTGGTTAGTTGGTTCCCCAATCTAGGCTAGGTTAAGTCCATATTTGCATTTCATTAGATATGTTTGAGTCACTACTTTATAGTACCCAATTTAGATTTAGGTTATGAGATAGATTTTTATATCTTAAGTTCTCACCCTCCGGAAATATTATTTCAAATTTCTAATAAAATGCGTAATCAAATATAAAAATCTACTCATAAAGTGTAAAGCCCAACATATGGTAGACTGAGATTGCCTCTGAGCTTCTTAGAATTTGACACATATTTTTTCTCCTTTAACTCGCTAAGAACTGTTAAATGTTGAGATTTCTCCTTGAAAAAATTTCTATTTTTTTCTTATTTTTTTACTTTTTAATCAAATGATATGAAATTGCAGCTTTAATTGATAGTTGTCTTAGGAACATCCCACCTAGGATGTAATTAATTATAAGGGCTCGCCTCTATAGGGATTTGAGAACCCTATATTAAAATAAATATTATTTTATTTCTATAAAATAAGAAAAAAAATCTTTGGGAACACATATTTTTTAAAAATCACATTTTTAATTTAAAATATATTTGTAGAATATTATTATTATCTTTTTAGGTGATATAATATTTTATTTGTTATATTCAACTTTAGAAATAAAAAAATTTATAAAACTCATTCTTTTTTTATATGTCTTGAAGAATGGTATATTCGTTTTTTAAGATGATATAATATTCTCCTTGTTATACCTATATAAATGAATGTATAAACTTTTTAAAAATCCTATTTTAATTTTTAAACACATTCTATATAATTTCATATTCATCTTTTACGATGATATATTATTCTTTAAATTATGTTTTATTATAAAAATATTATTTTCTAAAATTCTATTTTGATATTGAATTCACTGTAGAATATTGTGTTAGTTTGTCAAGATTGTATTTTATTCTCAATGCAGTATTTTATTATAAAATAGGAGAAATCAAAATCTGCGTGGCGACATTATTTTTTCCCATACAATGTGTAGTTAATATTAGGTGTAATGTAAACCCTATGAATAAGAAAGCATGCACAATCAAGTATGTTGGATTAATTTTATGCAAGCATAGGCACAATGTTTGTCATGTATCAAATTTATAGAGATGAATTATCATGAGGGGGTGTTAATAGTACATGCTTTACTTACTTTTCTTAGATTCTTATAGGGTAACAAATTATGTGAGCTTAGAGTGGCATTGAGGTTAGAAAGGATTTATTTTATCATTTGTCTCTTTACGATTGACTGAGTGTTTGGTGATGCATATGCTCTGAAAATCATCAATATAAAAGAGAATAATTAGGAGACATTGTATTTATATTTCATCAATCCAAAATAATTTATCCAAATAATATTTATTTTATTATTTTTAATTTTAAATTAAGTGAATTCATCTCCATAAAAACTTAATTTTTTTATTGAGTAGATAATTATTGTAGTTGAAGTAGAAAATTTTAGTATTTGCAAGTAAACATTCTTCCTCATGGGATCCATACTTTACTCTATCACTATATTACTCAATTCGACATATATACTTGCATATATTATAAGTATGATTTTCTTTTTAATTTTTATATCAAAGAAAACCTAAGCATTATTTGGGGATAGATAGAGCCCTAAATCATTTTCATAATTATTTAGATTATTCCGTCACCTCCATCATTGATCTTGATTATACTATATGATTAGTGCAAAAAATAATTAATTAAATAAGATTAATTTGCATTAGATATAGCAATCATATTATATAACCACAATATCATACAGGCTGATCAGCTATATTTGATATCCTCGCCGTGATTTAAATTAAGTAATAATTCAAATTCAAAATCATTTTGATATTTCTCCACAAACTAGTTCATATTGTGTGATGTTTAAAAATTTTGCCCAATACAATCCTATGATTAAGTAATCGAATCAAGATTAATTCATACTGATATCATACGGTACGATCTAAATCATACTGGATGATCGACAAAGCAGCATTCTGGATGATAATTATTCATGTCGGGGTGCGACCTATATAAACTGCATTCAATTAAACTAATCATGCTGGACAATCTTTAAGTTTTTTGAAATCCTCTATTTATACTCTCTTTATGACTTAATTAGATTCTTTTGGTAGTTAGAGTTTGTTTTGTTTGTAAGAGTGTTAAAGCAAGAGCATAGAGCAAAGGAGAGAGAGGGTGAAATTATGTGAGTTAGAAGAGCCTTATGGGATTCAATGGAGTGTGAGTGGGCTTTCCACACAATACCTTTAATCAACTTGCGTCTAAGTTCCTGTGGGTGTGTAGGTATTTGTATTAAGGAAAGCTGTATAAAAAAGCCATTGGTATCAAAGTTTGTCAGCTACTTTGCCGCACTAAGGAGGTGAAAGAATTTTTGGCTATTCCACATCACCAAGGAGATAAAAGAGATTTTGATTACTCCACTGCATCAAGGAGATGAAATAGATTTTAGATACTCCACCGCACCAAGTGAGAGAGATTTTGGCTACTCTGTTGCACTGAGGAGGTGAAAGAGATATCGATGTCTCTATCGAACAGAGGACGTGAAAGGTAAGATTCTTTGTTAGACAAGAGTTTATACAAGTGAAAGTAGAGTCACTATTTATTAGTGCAACATCCAAAGAGAAGAACTTCAAGGAGTGGATGTAGGTCAAGTTGATTGAACTATTATAAACTTTAATTTACATTCTTATTTTCATTTACTTTCTATAGTTTTACTTTCCAACATATTTATTTTTCTTCAATCTGGGTTGAGTCTGATTTTCATTATAATACAATCATTGTGGCTTATTAGGATTGATATTTGTTTTAAAAAGAAACAAAAAATAAAAAGAAAGATAAAAAAAATAAAAAAATTATTATTTGTCTTCCTAAAAAAAACACAAAAGGATTAGTATTTGTTTTTGGTTGTTATTGAGAGTTGCGATTTTGTTAATTATAATGCTTCTGCATTAAAACCTGATTTTTTTAATCAAAAGTTTTTTGAAAGTTTTATACTCACCAATCCCCCCTCCCTCTTAGTGTGTCATTTCAATATTGAATTGGTTACACAACTAATTATTGAACTTTTAATTAGTATCAGAGTGGGTTTCTTACAATTTAGTTATAACACATAAAGTTTAATCCAAAGGCACATTTTGGAAATCATAAAACTAATAAAGGGTATTCTATTACCCATCCACTATTATTTGATAACATTTTATTCAATTTCTGAAAAATTTACATATCTACATTCTTACAATATATAGATTTTTTCATGTGGCATATAATTCAAGTAAGATATTCTTTGTGCACTAGCGTCAAAGAGATATGAGATAAATTATGTATCACCTTTGAAGGACATAATAAGGTTAAAAAATCACATTTAAATTTTTTATTACAGAAGTATGAACTATTTCACATGAAATCTAGTGAGATAATATCTAACATCTATACTAAGTTCATTAAAATAATCACTTCATTACATGCATCAGGTAGGGAAATTTTAAATTCTTAAAAAGTGAATAAAATATTTTGTTATTTGTTGATTCTTATGAGGCTAAAATTACTATAATACTAATTCAAAAGATCTTAATAAGTACTCTATTAATAATTTTTTGAACTCTCTTATTGCTTACAAGCAAAATGTGAGCCAAATGCTTTCATATATAAGTGGCAGGAAGAAAGAAAGAATAGTGGCATTAAAGATTGATGGCACCAAGAGCAGTAAGTGAGGAGCTGATGGGAGTGAGGACATAACATTGATGACTTGCCAATTCAAGAGCTTCCTGAAATGCAAACATAACCACCACTTAAATAAGAGCAAAAATGATAAGTTCAAAAAAGTTTTCATATGACATGATTTTTTCTTAGTTGAGGAAGCTTAGACATTTGAGAACAGATTGCACCAACCTCAAGAGTCACCCTGCTAAGCAAAAGGGTGAAGAAAAATCAAATTTTAAATAAGGCAAATAAAAACTATAAAGGCATTCTCAAAAAACTCAGAGTCAAATTCCTTAGAAATTAAACCAAAAGTGGAGGTAATAAACCTTTTTTTAATGGCTAATTATAATGTTGGGAACTTCAATAATGTTGAGGTATGTGACCTTTCATATGATGATTTATTTTTCATATCTAAACAAATGCATAACTCATTTAAAATGTTAAAATAATAACACTCACTTTTGAAAAAGGATCTTTCAAATTTAAGTGAATAGCATGCACATTTAGCTAATAATCATTAAATTTTAACAATTGAGTACACTTCATTAGTTAAGGAGCATAAATCAATAAATGGATGAGTTTAACTCATTAAATAAACAACATGTTGAGTTAATAAAGTCACATGAATCCTTGAAAAATGAACATATTAAGTTAGAAAAAGCATTCAAGGAGTTAAAAAAACTTGCATTAGAATTGGACAATAATGAGCATCCATTGAAGGTATAAGTTGGTGTGTATAAGAGTGAAAATAAGCATTTAAGCAATAAAATAAGTGCACTTCAAAATAACAAATGTGGGTCTATGCTTATATTAAAGCCACAACTTATGACACAGCATGCAACATACATCCCTAGGAAGAGGCCATATCCTATATTTAGGTTAGTAAACTCATCTCCAAGAGTTAGGTGCTATTTTTGTGGCATATTAGAACACATTGTATGTACTTTAACTCTACACCATATAACACATTTAATTTGAAGGACGAAAGTTCTACCATCATAGCCTGGCATATATACACTTAAGTATAAGGCGAGACCCAAATCCACTTAGGTTTCCAAATCTATATTATGACTATTTTATAAGTATGCTCTCATAAGAGGTCTAGTGAGAGCATGTGGTACATGGACAACAGTTGCTCGAGGCATATAATGAGAGATTTGAAGTAGTTTATTATGATGGAGGATAAGAGTGGAGGTAAAGTTATTTTAGGAGATAATACCACTATGAAGGTGGTAAGTCCATATTTTATTGGAAAACTAGTAGATTTACTATTGAGAATGTTCTTTTAGTTGAAGGTTTAAAAAATAACTAGCTTAGTATTAGCTAATTCTATGATAAAGGCTTTGGAATTAATATTTTACATTGTTTTGAAAACCGGCCCTGCCGGTTCGACCGGTTCAACCGTGAACCGGTCTTACGGCCGGTTCAGTCCTCCCTAAGAACCGGTCTAACAACGAACCGGCCAAAATCGGTTTGAACCGCAGGTTGAACCGGCTAACCGTTGAACCGGTCAATTTTTTAAGAACCGGCCGGTTCAACTAATAATATATTTAAATATTTTTTTATATAAAATGTTTAATTAAATTATAAATTAGTTTAAATATCATATATTTTATTTAAAAATATGATTAAAAAATTTTATTATAATATATGTTAAATTTAATATAAATAATCTAGCTCACATGATGCAATAATATCATGAAAGCTCTTAAGCCATGGGTACAAGGAAAGGTATATAAACAACACAACGTTCGACCCCGGTTCGAGCGGTCGAACCGGTCGAATCGGTCGAACCATGAACATCTCATTCTTTCGGTTCGATGTCCGGTCTGATTTTCAACCCTTATTTATTACTTTGGAATTATATTATTATTTATTACGTCATCCGGTTTAATGAATTTAAGATCTTAGATTTAAAGGAAGTTCGGATGCTTAATTTTTACAATTCAAAATGATCAAGTTGGAGAATTTGAAAATGAGAAATTTGAATTATTTTATATGGAATACGAGATAGGTCATAATTTTTTAACCCTTAGGACCCCACAATAAAATGACATTATTCAAAGGAAGAATAAAACTTAGGTAGAGGTAGCTAGGGTAATGGTGGGAGAATATGACCTACCAAAATATTTTTGGGCAAATGTAGTTAGAACTACCTTCTATGTGCTTAATCAGGTGAATATTAGGTAAAAATTGAATAAGACACCCTATAAACTACTAATGGGTAGGACACTAAATTTATTACATCTATATGTTTTATGTTATAAATATTTTATGCTTGTTAATGGTAAATCTCATTTAGAAAAGTTTGTTTATAAGGCGGATGAGGCTATCTTCTTAGGTTATTTCTTAGTAGGAAATATATGTAGAATAAATGGTCCTTACTTGTAGAGGAATCCACCCACGTGGTCTTTGATGACTCAAAAGATATATAGAGACTAGGATAGATGATGATGATGATGATGAGGTTGAGATTACTCGTGGAGTAGAAAGTATTGACCGAAAAAAATGGAGAAGAGCCTCAAGATCCTTTGCCTAAAGAATGGTGGTTCTCTTCTAATCATTTTAGGGAGCTCATCTTAGGAGATCCATATGTAGGAGTAAGGACTAGGAAATGTCTTAGGAAAGAGCTTAGCTATATTGCATTCATTTTTATGATTGAACCCACTAGTGTAGATCAAGAATTAAGGTAATGAATTCTGGATATTGGCCAAGCAAGAAGTGCTTAATTAGTTCATTAAAAATGATATATTGGAATTGGTTAGAAGACCTACCAATCAGAGTGTAGTTGGAACCAAATAAGTTTTTAAGAATAAGTTGAATGACTCTAGGTTGGTAGTAAGAAACAAAGCAAGGTTAATAACTAAGGGGTATAATCAAGTAGAGGATATTGATTTTGAAGAAACTTTTGTACGAATAGTTAAGTTAGAATCCATAAGAGTTTTATTAGCATTTGCATATTTGACAAGATTTAGTTTATACCAAATGGATGTTAAATGTGCTTTTTAAATGGTGTTATAAAACAGGATTTGCATGTAGAATAGTCCCCAGGCTTTGAAAATTATTCATTTTCAAAACATGTTTACAAACTTGAGAAAGCAATATATGGGTTTAAACAAGCTCCTACGGAATGGTACGATAAATCGCAAAACTTTCTCTTAGAAAAGCCTTTTAATAATGGTAGTATATACATCACCTTATTTCTTAAGAAAGTTGAAGAGGACATACTCATAGTAAAAATTTATATTGATAATATACTCTTCATATCCACAAATAATAATTTATTCAATGAGTTTTATACAACTATGAGTAGGGAGTTTTAAATGAGCATGATGGTTGAGTTGTCTTACTTTCTTGGGTTTAATATAAAATAAAGAGAAGATAATACTTTTCTTAGTCAAATAAAATATATTAAAGAAATTTTAAAGAAATTTAATATGGATGATAGTAAAAGCATAAATACATAAATGAACCCGACCACCCAATTAGATAAGGATATAGGAGGTAAATCTGTTGACTGAAAGAAATATAGAGGGGTTATAGGATTAGTACTCTACCTGACTGCTAGTAGACCAGACATCTTGTTTTGTATTAGTTTACATACTAGATTTCAAATTGATCCTAACAAATTTCACATGAGTATCCTCAGATATATAATATGCATAAAAAATTAGGCTTAGAAATAGTTCAATTTTTGATCTTATAAGATATTCAGATTCAAATTTTACATGGTATAAATTATACACAAAAGCACATTTAAAACTTGCCAATTCATTAGATATAGATGGTAAATCTGTTGACTAAAGGAAATATAGAGTAATTATAGGATTAGTACTCTACCTTTCTGCTAGTAGACTGGACATTATGTTTAGTGTTTGTTTATGTATTATATTTAAAATTGATCCTAAGAATTTCACATGAGAATCCCTAGATATCTAATAGGCACAAAAAATTTAGGCATCTTGTATCTTAGAAATAGTTCCAATTTTGATCTTATAGGATATTTTGATTCAAATTTTACAAGGTATAAGAAATACATAAAAGCACATCTAGAACTTGTCAATTCATTAGTTAGTCTTTGATTTTTTTATCTTGTAGAAACTAAAATTTTATTGCCCTACCCATCGCTGCAACAATTTATGTAGCTATAAGGAGCTATGTTTGCCCGAGTCTTATAGCTGAAGCGATAAATCCTAGACGTTGGACTACTTGTAGGCACAATCCTTATTATGTGGGATAATGAGATTGCAATTTGTATTTCTAAAAGTTTAATTTAATATTCGCTCATTAAATACATAGACATTATGACATCACTTCATTAGGATTCATGTAACCAATGGCTATGTAGAGCTACTACATGTTGATATTGAAAATCAATTGCTAGATATCTTTACTAAACCCCATAATTATGACATATTAGGAGAAAACTCGGTTCGTTGACATCCGTGCTTAGGATTGTGGTGGTGATTGTTTGGTTGACATCCGTGTTAAGGTGTGATTGTTTGGTTGTTTTTATTATGATTGTTTATTTATGTTGTGAATTTTAATATGTTTGTACTTTCAATTTTTTTTTCCTTTTGCTTTTTATTATAGTTTTGTATGTAGTTCCTCTTTTTGATGGTCATACTAATCTTCTAGAGGCTTTAGTTGAGATATTTTAGGGGGATCTAGAAACACATAACCATCATTTACACTTATGGGCTACAAATCATCATGTTGTTGTTCAGAAGAAGCTTGAGGCAGGCGATTATCGGGTATAAGATTTTCTTGAGGGGGTGGTCAAGCGCCTTGTCTCCTCAGTTTCCTAAAGGCGCTTCTCCCACAATAGTTCACTTAAAATTGATGAAATGAAAGAATGGAGAAGATTTTAGGCAATTGCTTTATGATTGAATCTCTGTGGCATAAGGCTTTTGGGCTTTTAAGCTGGATCTTTCGGTGTTGCTCTTGTTCTCAGTCTCCTTTGTGGTCTCGGGTTTTTTGAGTTTTCTTTATGCTGTTTGGCTCTACCGTTCAGTTTCTTTATGCGATTTTGGTGATTGGCCTCAAGATTGGTATGGGGCAAGGATAATCATTGCCTCCCCCATTCCCTGGATGGTGGTTCCTTGCAGCATTAATCTTTTTGAAGTTAGATATTGCAACTTGAAATATTTTGGGTTGCAATTTCGCTTCATTGAGCCCTGGTTGCTTCTTATTCTTATGCTTGCATATGGTTTTGGCCTCCTCTATTTTTGTTCTATTCAGGATTTTGCTTGGTGTACTTAGTTACAAATTTTGATGAGCTTTTGCTCAATATTTTTTCACTATTGGTTTCTTCTTTTTAGCTTAGTTTTCATTCTGTTGCTTTTTTGTCTCATGCACATGCAATTCTTCTTTTCATATAATGGAAGTTGGGCTTAGGCCCTAATTTTCCAAAAAAAAAAAGTTTTTTTAATTGAATAGAAATAATAATTTTTTAATTAATATGCCGACTCTTTGAGATCGATAAAAATTCCAACGATTATCAAATTCCCAAAATGATTGCCTACCCTACGACAACAACAGAGCTTGAAAGAAATCAATATTTAAAACAGTGAATGAGCGGCTAATAGAAAGAGCTATCCATTAACAATCGCTTGATCCATCTTAAAAGTGGATATTACAAAAACAAGGGAGAAGCTAGCTAGTGCATTATCCACCACCCAGCATCAAAGAGAAAAAAAAATGCAACTCTTGGACCTCCTTTTCCTTTGGGAGATCGAAGCCATTAGTCTTCCCTTCAGGCCATTTCAACCTCCTGTCTTTTCTTCCTCTCCTCATTCTGTTGCTCAACGACCGGGGTACTTCGACAATAACATCCGTACAACACTAGCTGGAGGAATCCGAGCAGCGCTCCGAGCCCGTTCGGTAGCTACACGAGGGTCACCACATCAGTCTTCAACAAATTTTAACAGCAGAAGATTAAGAAAGAAAAAAATAGTATGGTTGTCAGGAAAGAAATGTGTTACCGTAATGAAAATGTCGAACTTCAAAAGTGCATAGGCGGTCCAGCATACGCCATTCAGAAAGCTAACTAAGGAAAGCCAGAACGGCATGTACTTCACGCTTTTTGTCACGACCACCATTTTCTGATAAAGAGTTACAGTGTGTCTCGTAAATAATAATAAGCCATCGAATGCTTGATCGTTATCATCTACTTAAATGTATTAATTCAATTATTATTGAATCATATAATATCTTAAATTTAGAAAGCTAATAGTCATCTTTTTTTACTTTCTTAATTCGCCTATAATTGTATATATTTTTTGTGACTTATTTTTTAACATGAATGGATGAAAATTATATCCACAATCTTCCGATTCGTCTTAAAAATATTGAAAGAGGCACAGGAATAAAATTAAACAAAGCTTTACATAAAAACTTGACAAAGAAACAAAGGATAGTGAGAAAGAGCTTGGTCCTGTAGAAGAAAAAAGAACGTACCATAACGGTAAGAGGGGAGGCATACATGCAAGTGCCGAAGATGACACAGAGGATGCCGACAATCATCGACCTCTTCTCGTGACTATGACCCACCGTGAGCACAACAGACACAACCACCGCCATGAAAGCCAATTCCCCCATTAAGATCTTCAAAACCTTCAACTGCAAGAACATATCCAAAAATCCCAAAACCATCAATCAAAAACATGGATCGTCCAATCAGCCAATAAATTCTAAAATTTAATCAACCGAGAATCGATTCAACGCACCCTCAGATCCTTAGGGGCGTAAATGAAGAAGACCGTAAGATAAGCTCCCTCAAGCACAATACCAATGCCATTTATGGTAACCACGAGCATTGAATTGGGGTGGACAATGGGTAAGCCATAGAAGACCCAGAGCATGCAGTTGAGCAGAGTCGCAACATACGGGATTGGTGAGAACTGCTCTACTGCATTCTTTCTCCATATTTTTATGAAAGTGGGTAACGGTGAAAGAAACAGTCCGAATGATATCACATTCCCTGTCCCAATCCCATTTTCCCAATAAAATTTGTAAGAAATCGGAAAGAGAAAAGTAAGTGAAATTAATCAAAGGCAAAGTGTTATGCCGCGCCGAAGTTACCGATTATCCCAACAACGTTACGGACAACGTCTGTGCTCACCATCTTTGTTGGAATCTTGAGAAAACAGATGGACGCAGAAAAAGAGATGAGTTGTGGGGAAGAAGAGGAGCAGAGGTTTTGGAACTTGGAATTGGAAGAGTTGATGGAGGTGAGGCTTTATATAAAGGTGGACACGCTCTAAATATAAACTTCTAACAAAAAAGATGAATAATTTTAGGGAATTTGTTATCCAAATTGCCTAAAATGCTCCCCTCCTTTCTTCTCTATCTATTTTTTGATAAATTTTTAAAATAATTACCGTTAATAATTTAATTAGCTATTAAACCAACAAAAAAATTAAATTTAGATTTATTTATTAAAATTAGCTATTAAACCAGCAAAAAATAAGGGTGATTTTAATTGGTCTAGTCAACCTAGGTTGACTTGGTCAACCAGGTTGACCCAGGACCTAGATCTAGGCTCAACAAGTTTGTAGTCAACCCTCTTGACCCTATTCTAGTGAAAAACATGGTCAACAATTGCCAATATAGATAATTTAGCTCTAACTATCAATAATGCCTATTAAAATAAAATAGAATTATGAACAATTAAGAATAATTCCATTAGCTATATTATATTTTTGTACTCAAACAACTACTCCAATCAAGGTGATTATAAGATGATAATGATAATCCCTTAACTCAAGACTCCTTTCCTTGGATGGTGTCTATGGTAACGGGTGAGTTCTTCATTTCATTCTGATGCTGAAAGGGTTTTTGTGAAATTTTGTCTAAGTCTTGGCTTGGGGTCTCTGAAATTTTAACTTTTATTATGTTTCTATTATTATATATGTTAATGCATGCTCAACTTTTTTTGGGTTTTCCACTCTTTTGATTGGTGTTTCTAGTCTTTTTGTTGAGCATAACTCCTTTTTGGTGGTTGCTATTGTAGCTTCACTTCTTTTTCCTTTGTAATTTTTTACACATGTAGCTTCATTTTTTTAATGAATTGGGCTATACCACTACTCCCACCCTCAACCATCGCTCAGGAAAAAAAGAGAGGAAATATAGGTCAATGTTATAATCTTAATAACTGAGCTATGCTGCCAACTAAGTGGTAAAGTTAGAAACATTATTTAGAAATGCTATTATTCATTTTATATGAACTTCTCTTAACAATTATTGGCACAAACAAAAAGCTCAAAAAATGCAACTAGTGGAAATCACAATCTTAGAAATAGAAACAAGAACATAGCAATAATGGCTACAGCTCAATACCCAATCGATGACGTAGATAACTTTTATAGCTCGAGAGCAACCAATTTTATGATTTATGATATTTCCAATTTAAAGTTTCAATATAAAATATCAATGTAGTAAGAACATACATATGAGAAATTGATAGTTTTTTCGGTCTCTCATGTAGGTTCATCTTTCATCTTACTAATAAGAAAGCAACATGAACAATCTTACTTCAAGGTAGCCTTAATGAAGGGTTAAAACAATTTGAAACTTGTATCACCAATAAAGTTGCTCAATTGAGTTACATTCTTAAAGAGTTTAAATATGTCTTGAATAACATTTTTTATGTTCTAATTGGAGTTGAGAAATAAGGTGAAATCTAACACTAATTTTTGGCACCTAAGTTTTGGTCACCATGTTATCAAAATCATAAAAAAGAATATGTCATCATATAATTTCTTTAGTTTTATAAAGTGTTGCTTATATTTTTATTACCTTTCTTGCTAGAAAAGACATAAGTTATCCTCTCAAAATCTATATTCTATACTAAATAACTTCAACTTATAAATTTAGAGCTTTTAGGTCATTTCCCAATTTCTTCCTCAAGTATCTTTCAATATTATGTAGGCTTAGTTAATGATTACTCTCATTAAACATCAATTTACCAGTTGAAAACAACGTTTGAAGTTCCAATAGTTTTTTAGAATTTTAAAGCCATTATTGAATCATAATTAACTTACAAAAATCAAATATATGCAAAAGGTGATGTAGGCAAATGTAAAACTCTCTCCACCGCCTTTACAACTTTGTTAAATTCCATTAGAATAAAACAACAAATTTTTTAGTATAATGGTTCCTCTCGTAAAAATAATCCAAATGATACTCTAGGTACGACCATCATTAATACTCATTATTTATTTTGTAATAATTTATAACCTTCACATAACACAATTTGCATCTATAATATTAAAAGTTTCTTAGACAATGTTAAACCAGCTACTCACAAACTAACAAATCATTGATCCCCTCTCTTATATGTGCTCACCACAAACTTGCAAAAGCACACTTGCCCTCATATACTTGGAGTCACCGAGGTCACCTAGGGGCATTTCGTCAAAGCCTTTCGATCTCGTCGTCCTTAAGATAATCAAGTGGTAACATATCTCTAGGATAGTGTGAAACATTATACATGCATTGTGATACTATTGTATGTTTTTTTTTCTATGCAGTCTTTTATGTATCCCTCAAAACCATATAAAGGGTGACGAAAATCAGTTTGAGGACCTTAGACTGGACTTATTTGAAATGATATAGTGGATACTCTAACAATTTTGGGTAATCATAATTTTTTGAGTATTCTTAAGATTTTATCTCTACTTGTTATTTCACACCATTTCCATTCTGTTTTAGGTTCTTAGGTCACTCACTCTCAATTACAACTCGATAGACATATTGAGCGTCTTCGATTAAAAATTTTGAATTCAAAATAAAGGCAAATTATTTTGTTAATTGATTGATAATTTCTATCATAGTAAGAGAATACAAAAGTGATCTCATGTGAAATTAACTTTATAAGAGATTAATGACAAGTAAACTAAATCCACTTTCAAAGGCAACGGGACATTTATTGCGTGCCTCCGTAAACGTGCCATGTTCCCTGCCATTCTCGTCAATAAATATTTATCTTATTTTAAAAAAATAAAATTTTACCAAAAATTTTGTTATAATTTTTAAACTTACATTTAGTATTTATTAGTATTAATTATGGAATTCATTTTAATTTTTAATGAAAAATAAGATAAATATTTATATAAAAATTATTTTCCTTAAAATAAGATAAATTTAAAATAATAATAATACACTATAAATAAAAATACTTTAAGTTTTTTAAAATTATTATGACAAATTAAATTGTGAAAATTTTTTACACATAATAACTCATTTAAAAAATTTCATTCTAAATTATTTATTAAAACTAAGAAAAAAATACTTGCATCTAATAGTTTAAAAAAAAAATAAAAAGAAAGCATCCTTTTTTGTTCTATTCAGGATTTTGCTCGGTGTACTTAGTTACAAATTTTGATGAGCTTTTACTCAATATTTTTTCACTATAGGTTTCTTCTTTTTAGCTTAGTTTTTATTCTGTTACTTTTTGTCTCATGCACATGCAATTCTTAGGCCCTACTTTTCCAAAAAAAAAAAAGAATTTAATTGAATAGAAATAATAATTTTTGAATTAATATTCTGACCTTTGAATTCGATAAAAATTCCAACTATTATCAAATTCCCAAAATGATTACCTTCCCTACGACAACAATAGAGCTTGAAAGAAATCAAGATTTAAAACAGTGAATGCGCGGCTAATAGAAAGAGCTATCCATTAACTATCGCTTGATTCATCTTAAAAGTGGATATTACAAAAAAAATGCAACTCTTGGACCTCCTTTTCCTTTGGGAGCTTGAAGCCATTAGTCTTCCTTTCAGGCCATTTCAACCTCCTGTCTTTTCCTCTCCTCATTCTGTTGCTCAACGATCGGGGTACTTCGGCAATAACATCCGTACAACACTAGCTGTAGGAATCCGAGCAGCGCTCCGAGCCCGTTCGGTAGCTGCACGAGGGTCACCACATCAGACTTCAACAAATTTTAACAGCAGATGATTAAGAAAGAAAAAATAGTATCGTTGTCAGGAAAGAAATGCGTTACCGTAATGAAAATGTCAAACTTCAAAAGTGCATAGGCTGTCCAGCATACGCCATTCAGAAAGCTAACTAAGGAAAGCCAGAACGGCATGTACTTCACGCTTTTTGTCATGACCACCATTTTCTGTTAAAGGGTTACAGTGTGGCTCGTAAATAATAAGAAGCCATCGAATGCTTGATCGCTATCATCTACTTAAACGTATTAATTCAACTATTATTGATTCATATAATCTCTTCAATTTATAAAGCTAATAGTCATGATTTTTTACTTTCTTAATTCGCCTATAATTGTATATATTTTTTGTGACTTATTTTTTAACATGGATGGATGAAAATTATATCCACAATCTCCCGATTCGACTTAAAAATATTAAAAGAGGCACAAGAATAAAATTAAACAAAGCTTTACATAAAAACTTGAAAAAGAAACAAAGGATAGTGAGAAAGAGCTTGGTCCTGTAGAAGAAAAAAGAACGTACCATAACGGTAAGAGGGGAGGCGTACATGCAAGTGCCGAAGATGACACAGAGGATGCCGACAATCATCGACCTCTTCTCGTGACTATGACCCACCGTGAGCACAACTGACACAACCACCGCCATGAAAGCCAATTCCCCTACTAAGATCTTCAAAACCTTCAACTGCAAGAACGTATCCAAAAATCCCAAAACCATCAATCAAAAACACGGATCGTCCAATCAACCAATAAATATTAAAATTTAATCAACCGAGAATCGATTCAACGCACCCTCAGATCCTTAGGGGCGTAAATGAAGAAGATCGTAAGATAAGCTCCCTCAAGCACAATACCAATGCCATTTATGGTAACTACGAGCATTGAATTGGGGTGGACGATGGGTAAGCCATAGAAAACCCAGAGCATGCAATTGAGCAGAGTCGCAACATACGGGATTGGTGAGAACTGCTCTACTGCATTCTTTCTCCATATTTTTATGAAAGTCGGTAACGGAGAAAGAAACAGTCCGAATGATATCACATTCCCTGTCCCAATCCCATTTTCCCAATAAAATTCGTAAGAAATCGGAAAGAGAAAAGTAAGTGAAATTAATCAAAGGCAAAGTGTTATGCCGTGCCGAAGTTACCGATTATCCCAACGACGT